GGGGGGGGGGGGGGGGGGGGTACAAAAAGCGTTCTCTAGGAAATTAGCTATATATTTTCCTGCGGTAGAAATGCGCCCGAGTCACTTTTGAAGAGAACTAACAATTGAAAATATTCGGTAATTCCCTAATATTCGATTTTCTTAGAACTTTCCGGCTGCTCGTTTTCGACCCAGTTTCTTCGCAATGTTTAATATTGGTATAAAGCTACTAACTGTAGCTCTAACCTAACTCTTTTTCGCATTTATCACAATGTCAAATTCCAATGACAAAAAGGAAAGATTACTATTCTGAATTTACGAATCAGATTGTCAGACTGTGTTTACGTTACGTCTGTATTCTGTACTTACTTTATCTAACTTTAAGAAACTGGTTTTAATACAGCAGCGAAACTTCGAAAGTAGCGTACCAGTCTGCTGACAGACAGAGAGCGTACACATGTACTCTCTTTACGTTGAACGGTGAACCTCAACCACCTTTGTTTGGATTGAACTCATTGAACCCTTAAAATATTCAACAAGGGGCCGAATACAGTGTTACACATGTGTTCTGTGAATTGTTTAAATACGGGAAGAGAGGACTTTGTAGTTTTATTTACTTTACACTCAGACAATCAAGTGCAGTGGCAGACAGAGGGAGGCCAATTGGCCCGCGCCTCCCCCCTTTGAGGAAATTCATGATATGAAATAAAAGTATTAAGGGATGAAAATAGTATTGAATAAATCACCATAACTGACATACCTTTTAAAATTGTTTTCTCATACAGTGATAGCCAGAAAACAATGGAATAGAAAGACGACATTATAGCAATACAACTAAGCGTTTTGATGTTGTTACAAAGCAAATAGTTTTACCAGTATCTATAAGCAATATATAGCATAATTTAAGTGAAAATGGTCTATTTACACTGTGAGGGGGGGAAGGCAAGCCACACCTGTATAGCGCTTCCTATCCACAATTTACTCACAAACATAGACTTGCGGCAAAGTGCTCACCTGTAGCACTTCCTTATGCCACACCAAATAGCTTCTGGCAAAATGTCTTAATTGGTAATGCCTAATTTCATCCGTAAATGACTAAAAAACTCCCATTTGTCAACGTCATATGCAACGATAATTGATACAAAATAAATTTTGATTACATTAATTTGATCGCACTTAGATGAATGTAACCCTTATTTCCGATTTCAGATAATTTTAAAGTGAATCCCGAGTAGAATCTTAGAGTCGGGAACCTAGTCTTAGGCGCCGGGCCGACTTTCTCCGACCCTCTGTTTTTGGAAAAAAATATCAAATTTCACCAAATATATGTAATATGAGCAAAAACCATTAAAATATTTGAGCATTCCTCTCCCCATCCCTTTCTTCAAGCACCCCTCCATATGTCCCAACCCCAGTTTCTGCTGTTTCCCCCCAAGTCTGATAGAGGTAGTTGTTAAAGACTCTTTCCCACCATCCCCTTTATTAGTTGGCAAATAATGTTATCTTGAACATTCTTGATTAGTATTCTTTCAGTTTGAAGGGTACCATGTTGAATCAGACATGCCAAAACATGGAGGGTCCCTTTAAATTACGAAAATATTTACCTTGGTGATCACTGGTGGAATAACCAACCGTGGAATGTCTCTGAAAAAATGCTTTCGTCATTTTTATCCATCCAAGAAATTTGGGGGAATTTTCTTCAAGCATCGCAAAAAAAAAGCTTACTCCCCTCAGGCTACAAGTGCAGTATTTGTGTGAGATTTTACTACATATAAGGTTTTTATAAGATATTGAATGAAATATTAATATAACATAAAAGCAACATTGATTGAAAGAAAAAAATAAGATTTGGAGGGGAAAGCATATTAAATTGTTACAAATTAAGAATAATTCTCTTACCGATCAAATATAGGCATATTATATATCTGAAATATAAATATAAATTAACATCCAATATTTTATTTACATCTTTTTAAATATTTTATTTACAACTTAAAAAAATTATTTTGGATTAAATATATATTTTAGAAAAATACTTAAAAACAACAGTTAATTAACATGTTTTGTTTTAAGACTAAGGTTCAATGAGTACCATTGTAAATGTCTAGTAGTTTCATGAGTGGGGGGGGGGGGTCCAAGAGGCGTTTATCCAAAACGGGGCAAATACCAATATACAGCATAATGAACCAATTATCGGCTAAGCTAACTAAAGGTTTGTGTGATGAAGGAATTATTAAGCATTTGCAGAGAAAGTGGTATTTGCTCCTCAATTCAATAAAAACTAATCAATCATAAAAAATATGGTAATTTCCTAGAAAACGCTTTTTGCTCCCCACCCTACACACACAGTGTGGTCAAAGAAAAAGTTTGTCTCACCATATGACAAAAAAAGGGTCTTTTTTTCATTTACGGCGAAATTACTATAATTAAATAATAAAATATTAAATCAAAAAACAATTGCTTTTGTACAACTTAACATTTCTGTTCCATTTTTTCATAAGTTTCAGTTTTAAAACCTCAGCCTCTATTTTTCGTCATACTCCAAAGAATGTTCTTATAGGATCAACTTAAGATGGTTTAAACTATGTCATAACCTTCACAAATCGCCTCTTTTAGCATTTTTTTAACTTGTCTAAAAAAAGACAACCAATTTTTTTAATGTCAACTAACTTCCAGGAAAAAAATTGACTTTCAAAAATCTTTTTAATTTAAAAGTTCTAAGAGATAAGATTTAACTTGTTTGTTGTACATTTTAAACTTTAATATTCACTTTTGATCAAAATACCTCCCTTGAGGTGACCG